GGCGGGGAAGCCCAGTACCGGCCGGCATGCTTTCCGCCCTCTGGCCCAACCCCGAACGTAGACATCCCTCCCGTCCAGAGGGAGTGTGTTTGGGGTTTTCCCTTCGACCCCCGGTTTCAGGTGGCTCCGGGGGCCACGGAGCCAAGTGCTGCCGGGAAAACGGTGCCAAGCAAGACCCGCGGCCCGAGGCCCAGCGCAGGCGGAGGGGCCCGGCCGCCTCCAGGCCGAGCAGCCGGGCTCCGGGTTCTGGGCGAGAGGCACCGGGCCTGCAGGGCGGCTCTCGGAGCGGACAGGTAAGACGGGACCTCCCTCCCGGGCAAGGCCCGGGGCCTGGCGTCTGCGAGGCGGTGGCCTGAGCAGGGGCAGGCGCCCCGCGGGGGAGGCCAGCCCAGGGCGGGAGCGGGTGAGGATGGGCAGCATTCCCGTGTTCCCGAACTACGAACCGGGGACCCCGAGACGCGGGCGCCCCTGGCGGACAGACCCTTCGGTGCCACCGGCCTGGGCGTGGAGCGCACCGGGGCCTTCCGCCTGGGTGGCTGGCCTCGGACTGTGAGCTTGACCCAGAGACGTGAATGCGGAGTGAGCGCCGCTCAGGATTCCTGCGTCTGGAAACTCCCAGCGCTCAGGAGCCCTGCCCGCGTCTGTGGTGGCGCGGGCGGTGAGAACAACGCTGGAGTCACGCCGAGGCCGCTGGGGGACGCAGCCTCTCTGCGGCTGGGAAAGGCCCCCCCGCCCGTGCCCACCCCGCACGCCGGGCCCTCGGGAGGCTGCTCCGAGCCGCCGCTCGGGGGCCCCCGGAGCCGTGGCAATGACTCCCGTCAGGAGCTCAGGCTGCGCCCAGGTCTCTGGTCCTCACAGGCCCCTGGGCGTGCCCCTGCTGCGGCCCGCGGGCCACCCCGAGCAGCAGGCAGCGGAACCCCTTCCGCCTGCAACACTGACCCCAACAGGGTGCCGTGCGGCTGGACGGCCCACGTGGGAGGGGTCGCTGTTCTCCTTCTTTTCAATCCGACCCCCACCCCCAGCCCCAGGGCCACGTGAATCCGTCCGGGAGGTTAGGGAAAATGCGAGACGCCCGTCTGGTGTGAGGAAGGTCCCGTGGTGGTTTCCATGTGGCTGGGACGTTTGCCTGGAGGAGCCTGTGCCTCGATGGAGGGGCCCCTGCAGACCCACCGCGGGCTCCAAGAGGGAGGCCTCGCCGCGGGGTCTGCGCAGCTCATCCTTCACCCCGAGGCCAGGCTCTCCTCGCCAGTCCGGGGGCCCCGCCGTCAGGCCTGGGCGTGAGCTCCTCCCCGGGGGCCTGGCCACCCCGGCACAGGGCTCCTCCCGCCCTCGGCAGGCACCGGGACTCAGGAGAGAGGGAGGCGTGTGCTCCGGAGAGGGGCTGGCCGCAGCGCCCTCCTGAGGCTTAGACTGACCGGTGTTTGGGGAGTCTCTTTGGGATCCACTTTCTGGCCAGAGACTCTGCTTTGCAACCGACCCGCTCGGAGGCGGGGACAGTGATCCTGTATGGAAGACGCCCGACGGGCGATGCTTTCGCGGGACGGGCTGCACGCCGCAGCCGCACGCTCATCCCCGGGCGACGGGTCTCTGCCCTCACGGTGTTCTCACAGAGCCACGGAAAGCGACACCTGAGCACCCGCTTCCCCCAAGTGACACGCGGGAGCCGCAGCCGACCTGAGTGAGGCTGAGGCTGAGCCTGGCCAGAGCCCGTGGCCGCGGCCGCCCCGAGCCAGTTCCCAGGCGCAGCCGGGCAGAGCCACTGGCAGGAAGTAGGGGAGAGGGTGTGGGTCGCTGCCCAGACCTCAGGAATCCCAACCAGCCGGCGACCAGCCCGGCCGCCAGCCTGAAGCCAGGGCCGAGCCCTCCTCGGGCGGCTCCCGGGTGACTTCGGTGCATTTGCATCTCGTCTCCTGAGGAAGTGGGAAGGCCAAGTTCACCGGCTGCACCTCTCCTCTCTGTCCCCGCTTGGAGGAGGCCCAGCAAGGCTGCCAGTGTCGCCTCCCAGCCGGGAAGCCGCGGTGGCTGCTGGGCGGCAAACCGGCTGCGGCCTGCACACTCTGCCCCCTGCTGCCCCGGCCATGACCATCACACAGGACTCCAGCCCCCAGCCGCGCCGCAGCCACCTCTGAACGGGACTTAGGGAGGTGGCACCGGGCCAGGCACCAATGGGGCTGCCACTCAGCCAGCAGAGCAGCTGGGAACTCGGCCGGCGCTGACGCATCCACCAGGCGCGACTGGACACCGGAGGCCGAAGCATCTGGGGTTGTGAGAATGACTATCGATGGCTCGTCTGCATGGCCACAGCCTCCCTCGGTCATTCCAGAGCCTGAGCTGACGCCGGGCGGCAGCTGCTTGTCACAGTGCTCGGCTCCCGACCCCCCCCCCCTTCCCCGGCCGTGGGAGCTGGGGAACAGGGCCATGCTGGGGGGGAGGGGGCTGATGTGGCCTCTCCAGTGGGGAGCACGGAGCATGCTCGGTGTTCACAAACTACAGAAAACACACACGTGTCTGTGTACGTTGAGTACGGTGTCACGCTTGGCACACTCACTCTGCACACGTCTGGACAGCGCAGACATGGGTTTCGATTCCTGCTTCAGTCACAACAGGCCGAAGTCACAACCACACCTGTGCCTTTGTGAAGGCCTGTGCCCTCACATGTTATCACGGGGGGTGTGGGCGGAGCACGCAGGGGTATTCCGGCCAGACAGCCCTGAGGCCTCTGCCTGATCACAGACCCCCTGGCCCCGGGGCTGGCACCTGGGAACCTGTGGTCTCACAGTCTCTCAGCGGGCGGGGTCCTGACCAGAGCCACATAGAGACCCCCGTGGAGCCCAGTCACTCTTTCCTGCTCTGAACCCTGTCCGTTAGCAGGGAAACAGCAGGCGGCAGGAGCAAGGAAGGAGAGTGTGAGCCCAGCACAGCCGGCCCACACGCTCCTGTCTCCGCCCTCCAGCAGCCTGGTCCCTCCGCGGGCCACGGACCAGCCGCAGACCGTCAGCCGTCGGGAGCGGCCTCGGGGGCAGCCCCTGTGTCCCTCCATCGTGTGCGTGAGCCTGTGGGTCAGGCCACACAGGAAGCCAGGCAGCGACTCGCATCTGAACGCAAAACACCAGTTCACAGGGCAGCCCCTGCTTTCGCCCCAAACGCAAAACTTCTCCTTTCTGCCCTTCCCTGTCGCTTCCTGAGTGTGTGTGTGTGAGTGTGTGTGTGAGTGTGAGAGAGTATGTGTGTGTGAGAGAGAGTGTGTGTGTGGTGTGTGTGTATGTGTGTATGTGTGTGGTGTGTGTGTGTGTGAGTGTGTGTGTGAGTGTGTGTGAGTGTGTGTGAGTGTGTGTGAGTGTGTGTGTGAGTGTGTGTGAGTGTGTGTGTGTGAGTGTGTGTGAGTGTGTGTGTGTGTGAGTGTGTGTGAGTGTGTGAGTGTGTGTGAGTGTGTGTGAGTGTGTGTGAGTGTGTGAGTGTGTGTGTGAGTGTGTGTGTGTGAGTGTGAGTGTGTGTGTGAGTGTATGAGTGTGAGTGTGTGTGTGAGTGTGTGTGTGAGTGTGTGTGTGAGTGTGTGTGTGAGTGTGTGAGTGTGTGTGTGTGAGTGTGTGAGTGTGTGTGTGAGTCTGAGTGTGTGTGTGAGTGTGTGTGTGAGTGTGTGTGTGAGTGTGTGTTTGTGAGTGTGTGTGGGTGAGTGTGAGTGTGTGAGTGTGTGTGTGAGTGTGAGTGTGTGTGTGAGTGTGTGTGGGTGAGAGTGTGTGTGTGTGAGTGTGTGGGTGAGTGTGTGTGTGTGTGTGTGTGTGTGTGTCTGTGTGGGTGAGAGTGTGTGTGTGTGTGTGAGTGTGTGTGTGAGTGTGAGTGTGTGTGGGTGAGTGTGAGTGGGTGAGAGTGTGTGTGTGTGTGAGTGTGTGAGTGTGTGTGTGAGTGTGTGTGAGTGTGTGAGTGTGTGTGTGTGTGTGAGTGAGTGTGTGTGTGTGTGAGTGTGTGAGTGTGAGTGTGTGTGGGTGAGTGTGTGTGTGTGTGTGGGTGAGTGTGTGGGTGAGAGTGTGTGTGTCTCAGAGGGAACCATGGTTTTATCTGAAAAGATGTCCATGTAGAAGCACGAAAACCACAGAACTTGTTGGTGTTAAAATGGTGGTTTCATCACAAAATGAAAGCGCTTTCTCTTTTGCCGGCTCTGACATGCGGAGAGCCGGGGTCAGACTCTGCCAAGCACTCCCTCTCCCCCCGCTTTGGGATGATCAGCCTCCCCAAGCCGGTCCCCTGAGCCGCGCCCGGCATCTCGCACGGGCACCACATCCCGCCCGCCGGCCGCGGTGCCAGGTGCAGTGACACCCTCGGCAGCACAGCGAGCGCTTCCGAACCGCACGCACAGCAGGCCGCGGCGCCCCCCCTCGCGGAGCCCCGTCTAACAGGCCTGAGTCACGTGGGCCGGTCACGTCTCGCAATGTCTCGGGGCTGTTTTCCTGCCCGGCCCGGGGCCGGGGCCGGGGGCGGGGGGCAGGTGGAGGAAGGGCATGGCTCCGAAAGTGTAAAAAAAAAAAATTGACATCATGGAAGTCACGTGACGGGCCGGGACCAATGCGGAGGCGCCGGGAAAGGGGAACAGTTAAATTTGTCATTTGGGTTGTGTGAAAACTTCTCTGGGCCCCAACAACAACCACAGAACCACAAGTGGGGCGGCTGGCAGAGTCAGCGGCGGCGCGGGCGGTGGTCAGCGGCAGGAGGAATCACACAGCTGCAAACCACAGGGTTTCGCAGGGCGGCGAGCATCCCCAAGCCACAGCCAGGCTCCGCTGGGTTTTTTTAATCTTTAACAATTTGAATATTTGCTTTGCAAAGGTACATTGTTCACAGGGCTCGGAGCCCCAGACGTGTGTGTGGGGTTGGGGTGGTGGGGAGGAGAAGAGATGTGGGAGCCGGGGCTGGGGTGAGGCAACAACGATGACCCCTCTGGCTCGCCCCCAGGGTGAAGCCCTCACGGGGACCCGCCTTCCGGAGAGGAGCCTGGAGCAGCGGCCATGGCCTCGGAGAGCATGTTCGAGTCATTTCCTTCGTACCCACAGTGCTTCATGCGGGGTGAGTACACGCCGTCTCATGCCAGAGGCCTGCAGGGCGCGGTCACACGGGGCCGCCCGGCGTCGGTGGGGGGAGGAAGGCGATCGCGGGCCTGTGATTCGGGCTATTGGGTTACCGGCTGCTGGACGGCAGCTCGGCGAGGCGGCTGGCGAGCAGGGAGGCCTTGGCGCGCGGTCGGTGCCGGGCACGCTGGCGGGGAGCGGGCTGCTCCGGGGAAGGCCCCTGGCTGGGCGGCTCACAGGAGCCTGTGGGTTTGTCCGCTGTCCCGCAGCGGTGCAGGCCGAGCCACCCAACTCTGCGCTCCGCGGCCCGCGCTCCAGCCTGCACACCGGCCAGGAGGGCTGACCTGGCACGGGCACGGGCAGGGGCCGGGGCCGGGGCCGGGGCCAGGCCGGGGCAGGACAGACTCCCAGACATGCCCTGGGCCCGCCGGGGACCTCGGGGGCAGCAGCTGCTCTGGGCGGGGAGGCTGAGTGCAGAGGGGCCGCTCCCCGGGGTGAGAGCCGGGCTGAGGGCGCTGCGCGGTGCCCTGCGGTGCCCATGCGGAGGCCACGGTGCCCTGCAGAGAGAGGGAGCCGCTGTCACGCAGAGTCCCGCGAAGTAAGAAGTCTCCTACGCTAAGCGGGTGGCGCTGGGTCATGAGATGGCAGCGTGCTGCTGGGGCAGCCAGTGTGGAGCCCCTGACTGACTCCTGCCCCCGCCGCGTAGAGGGCAGAGCCGGGCGGGAGCTGTGAGGGGGAGAGTGTGAGCGTGCGTGTGTGTGAGTGTGTGTGAGTGTATGAGTGTGTGTGTGTGAGTGTGTGTGTGAGTGTTTGAGTGTGTGTGAGCGTGTGTGTGTGTGAGCGTGTGTGAATGTGTGTGTATGTGTGAGCGTGTGAGTGTATGTGTGTGTGTGTGCATGTGCATGTTTCTGCTCGTTGGCTGTCTCTGGTGAGAAAGGAGGACCGTGCCTAAACCAACACAGACCAGGTGCCCACAGGCGCCACTGGGGCCGGCCGCCGCGTGGCTGGCGGTGGGCTGGCAGCGCCGGCGGAGGGCGGGTCTGGGGGATTCGTTATCGGCGAAAGCTCCGGCCGCCCCAATAGTGCCTGAGACTCACTGCTGGTTCGCGCAGCGGGAGCGGAATGCAGGGCTCCAGCCACTGTCACAGCCAGCGCCGCTGTGAATGCTGGGCGGGTGGCTGCGGGCCCTGGAGCCCCAGCGCTGGGGGGGCTGTGCGTGCACGTGGGCTGGGGGGGTGCGTGCATGTGTGCTGGGGGGGTGCGTGCATGTGTGCTGGGGGGGGTGCGTGCACGTGTGCTGGGGGGGTGCGTGCATGTGTGCTGGGGGGGGGTGCGTGCACGTGTGTTGGGGGGGTGCGTGCATGTGTGCTGGGGGGGGTGCGTGCACGTGTGCTGGGGGGCTCGGGGGGCGGGGAGGAGAGCGGGAACGGCTCAGAGCGCCGCACGGAGGGCGTCCGGGCCCTTCCCGGCAGCCGGACCTCTGGCAAAGCTGAATCACAGGCTGCGTGAGTCACAGGCCCGCTCGCTGCTGAGAAGCTGCGAACCGCCTCCCTGACACCCTCCCCCGCACTTCCTCCGGGCCTCCAGGAAGCAGCGTGCGCAGCACCAGCAGCGGGACCCTCCTGCGCTTCTCGCTCCCCCCTCTGCGCCACAATCGCTCCGCTCCCAGCGGAAGGCGGGGTCGGAAAGGAAGCATGGCACCGGCGGCAGGCTGGGTGTCGCTGTGGGTGCCGCCTGCTGTGCCCTGACCGGGCAGACGGTCCAGGGGGCCAGGTGCCGCACAGACCCCGGGAAGGGAGGGCGCTGCCCGGAACACAGCTGCTCAGTCCTGCAGCCCGTGCACGGTCGCTTGCCCAGCCCGGCTGGGAGCCAGGGATGGTGAGCCCGCCAGGGCAGGTGGCCAGGGGGCTGGGCGGGGGGGGGGGGGGGCCTGGGACCCTGCCCTTAAGGCTTGGGAGGGCTCCTGAGATGGGGTGTGCAGTGGTCACGCTCAGAAAGGAATGGGGCCTCGTAACCCCCGCTCAGGAACACGTCTGGAGGTCAGTGTCAGAGAAGCAGGGACCTCGCAGTTTCCCCTTCACGTTTCTCAGGGTGACCCCCACATGCCAGCGGCTCCCCTCTGGGGGCAGCGCCCCCCTCAGCTGCAGAGTGACCGCTGTCCTCAGGCCCCAGCCGGCTCCGCCCCCCCCTCCCCCCTCGCCTGGTCCTCACTCATCGCTCGCGTGCTCAGCCCCGTCCCAGCCCTGCCGTCCGCGGGGCCCGGCCGGTGCCTACCGCTGCCTGTGATGTGACATGTAGCGTGTTCTCCCCAGCTGCGGCCACACGCCAAGGGGAGACACCACCATCCCCCCGATGGCCGTTCTCCAGAGGAACCACCCCTCCCTGTTGGCGAGACGCCCACGTGACAATGGGGGAGGAACAGGCCCGCAGAGCAGCGCCCCTGCTCGGGGCGAGTCCGGGCGGCTGGCTGCGGGTGCCGCGGCCTGGCCCAGAGCCCACCGCACGGCACACACCGGCCGCGGCCAGCACTGGCCAAACCAAACGCCTGGAACTTCCCGCAGAATCCCCACTCCGCTCTCCATGCCAGGTGCCCCAAAGACCCCCCCGGGGGCGGGGAGCAGCGGCACCACGTGCTTCTGTGTGAAGCCTCATGGGCCCGGGCGTGGTCCGTGCACAGCCTGCGCCACCGGCCTCAGTTCCTAGAACCGCCGACCCCCAGCTCAGGCCGCCGTCCCCTCTTGCCGGTCTCAGGCAGGACGGTGCCTCCGGCGGTGGGTGCTATATTCCCTGAGACACCCTGTGCCACTGGTTCCCGAAACATATTCTCAAAGCCGGCGGCTCCAGAGGGCGTAAAGGTGCAGGCGGCATGGATGCCCGGGTCTGTGTGCGGGGGAGTCCGTAGTATTTCCTGCGGCCACGTAACCAGGCCCACAGGCCACAGACCCACAGGCCACCGGCCACCGGCCACAGGCAACAGGCCCACAGGCCACCGGCCCACAGGCCACTGCCAGGGGTTTCAGCAGCAGAAACCTGTTGGTTCGTGACTCTCAGGAAGAGCCGGGGGGGGGGGGGGGGGGCGGGCGGGCACAGTGAGGCTCAGGCCTGAGAGCGGGGCTCCCTCTGCGGCTCTCCCTGGGCGTGGGGCCGACTCTTCTCCGCGCTCCCCTGGCCTCCCCTCCGGCCGCGCCCGGCTCTCCGCCCCAGGACACCTGTCCTGCCGGGCCGGGGCCCACGCCAAAGGCCGAGTGGAATCCTACTGACCCCGAAGGAGCCAGATGGCCCCATCCTGAGACACTAGGAGTGAGGGCGCCACATGGGCATGTGGGGGCGCACCCGAGGGGCTGTCTCAGCAAGGTCCCCCCCTCCCGCTCCCCCTCCCAGGGCTCCCCGGGCGCCTTCCTGGGTGCTGGGTGCCGGTGCGGGGAGAGGGCCACCCCGGGCCAGGGGGAGCCCACGCTCTCACACGGCGGGCGGGCGTTAAATCTGTCTGCACGCACACCCCTGCCGTGTGCACCTTCCCGCACGGGGCGGGGGAGGGCTGTTCAGTGACAGAGCCGTCTGGAAACGCTTAGATCCTCACAGCAACGCCCGTCCCGAGAGAGGCCACCAGGCGCCACTTCCTCCGGGAACGGCCCTGCCAGCAGAGCCCTCCCAGGAGGCACTGCGCCCGGGGCGGGCGGCTGCCGGAGGCCTGGCACCTGCTCCCACGCCCGGGCGGCACGGGGGCAGCGGGGGCAGCAGCCGGCCCGGAGCTGGGGCAGACGCCCCGATAGGCGTGGGGAGCACCTTAGTCACCAGGGGCCCCTCTGTCCTCAGAACAGCCTGAACCGTGTGCCCCCAGAGGCCCGCCATTGCTGAGGAGGAGCGGCTGGCGCTGGGAGGGGAGGGTCTGGCGGCCGGCCTTGCAGGGACCTGCCCGGAGGAGCAGGGCTGGGCCGAGGTCCATCGGGGGGCCGGGGTGGGGACATGGGGTTCGGTCACAGCGCACAGAGCAGCTGCCCTCAGGGCCTCAGGGCCCCGACTGCAGGGCCTGGCGTTAACGTAGCCGCTGGACGCTGAATAGCCCGTGGGTGTAAGTGCCCGCGGTCGTGAAAACCGGGCGGTGGATCTTCACTGCGGTGCGGATGGTCGCTGCCTGAGAGGGTCCCGGCAGACTCTGTCCTGGAGGCACGGGGAGGGCCCCGGACAGGGGACACGGTCGGCAGGCGATGGTGTGGAAACACCGTGGTCCTCAGGGCGCTGAGAACAGCGGTCTCCATGCTTCCTGCACCATCTCCGACCTGGTGCCGGGGCTGCCGGGAGGGGTGGGCTCCGCCGGTAACTGCCTGTGACCCCGTCTTCGGTGCCATCCACAGGCGGGTGCCCGGGGGGGGGGGGTCCTGCTGGAGGACCGCCTCCGGCAGGGCCCTGACCACCTGCACCCCTAAGTGTGACCCACGACAACGCTGCTCCCGGGCCCGCCCTGCGCTGGCCTCCTCCGGCCTGGCCTTGTGCTGGGTGACATGAGCGTCCTTCGGCGTGTCTTCCTGGCTGGTCCCTGGGAGCGGAGCTGCTCACTAAGAGCCCGCAGCCCTGAGGGAATCGGGAAGGTGCTGGAGGAGGACATCGGGAGAAGACCTGGGCAGGGGGACATGGCGGAGGGCTGTCCGGGCCTCGGAGCTGTGCTGGGACAGTGCGGGGACAGGCGTGCGGGGGGCACGGACGTCCCCCCGCCGGACAGACACACTCCCATCCCTGTCCCTTTTAAATCTCTCCCCGCCCCCGCTCCCCCTGGTCCTGGCAGCACTCAGTGGTGCGGGAGAGGGAAGGCAGCGAGAGGGAGGGCGAAGCCATGCCGCCAAAGGAGGGGAAATGATGCGCGTTTGATGGCCGCCACACTGCGAGGGTGCTGGGGCTGGTCAGCGGGAATTGGCTGGTGCACAGACTGGAGTCTGGCCACAGGGGCCTACAGGGTGGGCAGGGGACTGTCTGCGGGGCAGGCGGGTCTGGGTGAACAGT